ACGTCCTAAAACTATAGGCTTATTTAATTTAAGCTAGGGTTCAGAGAAGGTCCCCAAAACGTGGAAATCGATAGGGGACGCCCTAATTCAAAGACCAAAAGAGAACGAACAAGTAATGTTGATGCCGCGTCATATCCCAGTATTATGGTAACTTAAATCCCTAAACCCTATACCCAATATACCCTACATATCCCATATACCAATATTATATCCGGGTCAGATTTTGAGTTTCCCCGTAGGTTCCTTGCCAAGTAGGAGGGAGCTTAAAGGACCTTTGAATAGCGCCTTGCATGAGCCATAGTCTAAACTCCTTAAAGGGGGGTTATGTAGGGAGTATATACAGGACTACTATAGGAGATATTAACTGGGAATACTGGGAGTTTAGACTAGAGCTCACATGTTCATGAGTACCCAAGGAGCTTGCAAGCGAAGCCCATAACCACATCTCACGACGATCGTTGATGCATCTAGGGTTCGGATTACGGGCCACTAGAACGGGTCCTTAGCCGGTTTGGGGGGAAGTAGAAGGGCTCGGAAGAAAGGCACAAATACTAGGAAGATCCGGACCCCAAGGTGTTGATCCAATTTTAGGGCTGCAGAATTGCTGTGACCTTATCATGTGGAAGTCTACATAGCAATGTTTCTTCCCGAAAGTCCTGCTTTTTCCTTGTCGAATGCACGCTGAACCCCCAGTTTTTTTGTATTGTTTAGGCCCCTTACATACCAGAACCCTTATGAAACTCCCCTATACTCTTCCGTATATGAGCCCCTACAGTCTCAACTCTCTAGTATCCCCCGCAAGTATCCTGGAATGGTACCAGGGACTATGACCGTGGCCGCGACCGCAGGAACGGTGGAAGGTGTGGAATCGACTTCTGGGTTGAGGGGGATGCAGGGCCCAAGCTTATTTAGGGTGTAGGGTTTAGGGTTAGGGTTTAGGGCAGTTGGCAATTCAAAGACTTAAGTTCGGTTTGGGGGCGGTCGTTGGTCATCCAGTGTGGAGTTTGGATGTTACTTGAGAACGTGCCGGGAAACATTTGTATATCTGGATGCCTTGCCTCGATCACGTGCAAGGAGCCATAGAAACTGGATGGTGTTCCTGGGTTGCCGTTAAGGAGCCTAAGTTAGGCATAATAGTGGTATATGGTGACTCTCAAAACTACCCCAAAAAATCCTCACGACAAACCCCCACAATCCTCATAAACCCTGGTATCGCTAGGAGCGCTTATAGGCCACATGCAGCTCCAATTTTCATCAGAAGCTTAGAATTTTCCAGCTGCATCGCTTGCTGGGGCATCCACGCCGCCCAACTTCAAAACCCCAAGCAAGAAATCCTAAATCCTAAGCCCTACCCCCCCCCCCACCCCCCCGCTTAAACTAGCATGAAACCTGAAATGAGTCGCTTTTAAAACACAGGCAGCAGTTCAAATGGGACTCTCTCAGGGTTCAGATTAGTTTCGGGGGGAATTATATCCTATGACCTGAATTTGCAACCCTTTGCCTTACACCCTAAACTCCATCCCCAATCCTAAACCCTAGACCCTAAACCCTAAGCCCTAAACCCTTAAAAAGCCCTAAAGTTCAAGCCCTCAACCTTTGCAGGTCCCGTGGTCGCGACAGCCGAGACAGGGGACGCAGCCGACGCGATGATCGCGACCGCGCTTTGGCATTGCAGCTGAGGATTCAGTGAGCTTTCTGCGGGTGCCAGGGCAATGCGTGAAGTCTTTCAAAGATTCCGTCTTAATTTCTGGCTTCAGGTAGAGGCTTTGAGGTCTAGGCCTTGGTTTCGAATTTAAGGTTCGGGGGTTTAGCTTAGGATTTGGCCTTTGAAGGTTTAGGCGTTGCGTCCTTTAGAGTTGAATTAGGGCTTCAAGATTTAGAGTTGCGGGTTCATGTAGACCCCTGATTAATACACCCCCTCCCCTTTATGGGGATTATAATAGGGATCCTAATATGAAGGCCCTTAAAAGGAGGGGGTTGATTAATCATGGGTCTGCATTAATTTGGGTTGAAGGTTATTCTGATATTGATTGCAGGCTTGAGCTGTGCGGCACTGTAGGGGATTGCTTTACCCAAAGGTTCCAAGGGCCCCCCTTTTTTGAGGGTTCAGGTGCCAAGAGCTTAAGATCCCATTGTATGTGCACTTGGACCCTTTCGGTGAGGTATTGCAGGATTCCAGCCAGCAGGTAGAACCCTAAACCCTATACCCTAGGAAAGTTCTGGGAACTCCCCAACCACGCCCGTGAAGTCACTACGTGGAGGGTCAGGGAGACGTAATAAGTAGGTTAATGATTGGGATAACTAGAGTTACTATACGGTTTATGGGGGTTATGAACCTACTTACTAAGTTCCCCTCACCCTCCAAGTGCACGGTGCCAAACGTGAGCAAGGAGTGCATGAAGCCATCTATCCTTCCATGCTGTCTAAGCCCTGGTTCCTGAGTCCTCCATTATTCCACCAGGAAGCTTGACATCTTCGACCCTGAAGTGTAGTGTTGAGGTCATGCACCGTAAGCCAAGCCGCGACGGTAATCAAGCTCTGAACCAAAGCTCTAAACCAGGTGGCTCCCGCTATGATCGAGACCGCAGCCCACGCCGTGCGTTTGGTCCGGGAGGAAGGCAGTTGGCAGCGGATGCAAATCTAGGGCATGGTGTCAGGTTTTCTCAATAATCCCTTCCCCCGAATATAAAGCCCCCCCGCCCGCTAATACTAAATGGCGAGTATTTAATATTAGGCTAAGGGGTGGGGGTTTAATCTTAGGGGAGGGGATATGTGAGGTACGGCTGCCTGATTCTCAGAATCCTAGATGGCCTTGGTTCACTAGAACACCTGCTTGAGAGGCTAGGCTCGCTTTTCAGTGTAGATTCCCTGGATGTGTACGGATCATGAGGGGAGGATAGGGGTAATCCTAGACCCTAAACCTCTGGATTCTTTAGGAACCTCCCTTGTACAAGAGAGTAGGGTCTAGGGTTTATGGTCTGTAGCATTGGTTTAGGGTTTAGGGTTTACCCTAAACCCTAAACCCGATATACTACGTTGTGTTATAGGCTTACAGGGGCCAAAGAGGCTCAGGGCTGAATTGCACGAAAGCGCTGATTCGGGAAAGCCACCTTAGATTTCATTTTACAACCTCGTCTGGGTTGGCCTTTGGGATACACAAATATTTCCCCCTACTTGGTTTCAGAAGGACCCTAGATACTGATGTTTTTGGAAGGGCTCCAAAGGCCAATCAAATCGTAGCATTCCTGATGTGAGGTCAGCTTTGCCGAGGTTAAAAACAGTCTCAACCCAGACCCCTGGGAGGATCTAGAAAGTAGAACCCCCAATATGGTACCTTATACTACTATTGGGTAATTTCTAGGAACCCTTAAGGGGGATCTACTTTCTAGATCCGCCCAGGGGTCTGGGAACTTTGCTTTGCGCGACCTGAGACGCTTTTGGAGTTTCTCAAGATAGGGGTACCCTGGGGGTTGGGGGGATTGATCATAGGAATCCCCTGCCAGACCCCTGGGAGGATCCCCCAATATGGATTTCTAGGAACCTTCAAGGGGGATCTACTTTCTAGAGCCGTTCAGGGGTCTGGGAAGGAGCGTTGTGCATGACTAGCAGGGCGGTAGGGAGTAGTAAGTTAGATGGGTTTAGTGGCATCGCGCTACAATGCCAGAGTATACATGTGTACTCGGGATGCACATGTTTCGAAGAGCTCCGCACTTATCAAGAGACCACAGACTATTACCTGTTGGCTGCAAACTGTAACGTTTCTATTGTGGCTGTGCATCAACGCTGACACATCAGCAGCCTTCCCTCCGACCCCAAAGTAAACCCTAGATACTTCAAATGCAATAGGACGCATTCAAGCGCATGCACCCATCTTAAACCCTCAGCACACATTTGAAGTCTAACAATGCCGCTTGTCCCTGGCAGGCCGAGTGGCAACTGGGGTGGAGTGCCTTGACCAATCATGGCCTCTGGTGGGATTGGTGGCGAGGGCATTGGGCCTTCGTCTTGTGGATAGCTGGATAGACCTGGACAAAATGGTGGGTACGTGCCACGGCATCCTAATCCCGCAAATTGGCTCTGCCCAGGTATCGCCTAAAACTTTCCGGACCCCCTTTGGCCCCGGCCACTGTTTTGTCAACTGCTATCATGATTTGCTCATGTTCTGGCAGGAAGCTCTATACCATTGCTGGCGGCTTCGCCTGTATTTCTATTGTTAGTGCTGTTACGTCATGAATGCTGTCTCCACTTTAAAGCCCCCTAACCTGCTTGTCGCAGGTCTTGTGGAGTGGCATGGCATGTGTGGAATGGCATGGTGTGGCATGGTGTGGGTTTGGCTGGTGCCAGGAGGTCTTGGATCTTACGCAGTGGAGCTTAACGCACGATGGGCAGGAATTCTGGAGTGGATGGACTTAGTGGAGTAAAGTGGAGCTGGCAATTCATGGTGGCAAGGGTTTATGGCTGGACTGTGGCAGGCATCTCCTGCTACTTGGAGTCTTGAGCATCATGAATGATACCTGCCCACTGCGCAGGGAGAGTTTGGAGTTACTTCAGACCCTGCATGCTCTTCCAAGGACTGGGTCTGCGAGAAGTGCGACTGCAACAATTTTGCGCGCAGAGATGAGTGCTTCAAGTGCGGCGCAAAGAAGCCATCCTCCTAACTTGGGTCCAACAGCGATCCGCACATGTGTACATCACATTAGGATCCCGCTTGTGGGACCCCCCTATGAGGAGATACACCCAACTCTTAACGACCTACCAGAACACTTTCATTGAAGCCGGTTGCCATTCTGCCACTGTGGAAATCCCGCCCACCCTCACGTGCTAGGATATATTCACGGTATCGTCCTTACGCAGTTCTTTCTTGTAACGAGCCTGAGTTGGAATCAAGGCAACAAAAGCTCCGCCAACGTTCAGCGAAAGCTTCGCAAAAGGGCTTTCATTGACACGGTTTAGGTTGAAGTGTAAAGCTCAGTCCCTCACCAAGAAGGGACTGCACCCAACTCTAGCTGAGTGGTCACTTCACATGACCTTCGAACATCAGATCAGATTTCGTCCGCAAGTTTCTAAAAATTGGGGACCCCAATATAGACCCCAATATATTATAGTCCTCGTTATGGGGACCCCCAGAACCACACGCGACTTCACTGTACGAAAGTTTTGCTCGGCACTATACAGAGACAGCAGAGGATGATGGGCCCCTACTTGGCACGCTCTTACAACAAGGATGCTGCTTGTTGAGGCACACGATGTGTGGGGACCTGCTTATAGAAAGTTGAATTAACGTAGGATTCAACAACAAAACCTATACTTGTAGTACTAGATGGTACCAGCCAGAGCCTACCAAATCACATGGGGGCACCGCATTGCATTTGTCCCTCAAACCTCGCGCTCGAGCGAAAGGAGAGCATGTGACGAGGGTGTCTCAAAACTGGGGCTCTTTACTTTTCGCATGGGTCTGGGCGACTTACTTAAACCCTAAACAGGACTATTTGCCCAAGCTGTGCAAACAAGTCCTCAGGTGCCTTGAAAGGCATGTTTTTGGACTTCCTTGCCAAGAAGGGGTTCGCACAGTAACAGTAGTGGCGTATGTGACCCAGTTTTGAGACATGGCCGTGTGAAAGTCTAAACAGCAGGCTTGCTGCCCTTGCTGGGATGCTTTGACTTTGTTGCGGGAGATACTGTAGGTGGACCCCGAACCCTGTAATAGCAGTATACTAGGAATAAACGAGGACCCTAATCGAATCACCATTATTCCTTACAGTCACGATGATTGGGTGGGGTTCCGCCTGGGAGTTGCTGCTTCTATTTATTTCTCCTCTGGAGCCCTCCAACTTCGCAGAGATTATACTTTGTATGAGTTCCCTAAACGATTATCTCAAATCCTTATGCCGCCTGGTTCCTATCAAGTACAGCCAGTTGGTTGGAATATAGAAATAGGAAGAGTTATGCTCTAAAACCTAAACCCTAAACCCTGTAATGGACTTTGATGGGAACCCAAGAAAATTGTAGGAATATAACCTACCAGGATCCTTGTGTTCCCAGTATATTCCTACTATATTCGGGGGGTTCCCTGTTCCCTAAACCCTAAACCCTTAAAGGCACTTCGCTGGTTTAGGGTAACGGGTTTTGGGCTTGAAGACTCATAAAACAAATATTTCCCACCTGAGTCACCTAATATCGATGTTATTGGGTTATACCTACCCTCATCCACCAAGTGCTTGGAGGATCAGGGGGACTTCGTAAGTAGCTTAATAACCCCTATAACCCATGTAGTAACCCCAGTTATCCCCGTTATTAACCCACTTACTACGTCCCCCTGACCCTCCAAGTAAGGGGATACTGCTCTTCCAACTTTCTGGTTCTATTGCTGTGGTTCCTACGAAAACCGCACATTGCCAAATGAGGAATAGTCTTATCTCCTTAAAGGGGATTATATAGGGATTATATAGGGGACTACTATAAGGGTTATGATTAAGGGGGATACTAGGAGTTTAGACAATGGCTCAAATGCAGGAATGGTAGTGCTTTAAAGATCTTACCTGCTTCAATCACCAACACTCAGGTGGGTAACGCCTGAACCAAGCCATGCACGTAGTATGTTTGGCGAGGATACTGTAGTCTTCAATATAGAGTACGCTTATGTCCTCCTTTCGGGTGAAATCTCGCTCAGAAAATGAACGTTCTTGGTTCAACTCTAAGAGCATTAAACCCTGAACCCTATTTACTCAGTTCAGGCACATCACATAAACCCTACACCAAATTTACTCTTTCTAGGCACATTACATACATCCTAAACCCTATGTACTCCTTTTATGCTTGATTCGGCAACGTCATCCCAGCCGCGTGTGACAGCAGAGAATCCCAGACACCCGAAAGGATCCTGATTTAGGGTTTAGGGTTTAGGATTTAGGGGCTTAGGGTTTAGGGGTGTAGGGTGCAGGATTTAGAGGTTTAGCGGTTTAGGATTTAGGATTTACAGGTTTGGGGCTTAGGGTTTACGATTTAGGGGTTAGGGTTTTGGATTTAGGGGCTGAGGGTTTTTAAGTCACTCGTGCTTCAGGAGAAGAAGAATAGAAACAGAAGCTAGACTATGAGGTACTTGTTTCAGGAGTTAAGGTTTGAATGTGCATATGGGGAGTGGGGGAGTGAAACCACGTTATAACTTGGGTACTGCCCCCACCCAGTAACAGTCTTTATTCGGGGTCCTATTAAGGGCTATATATAACCATATTATAAGTATTCTCCAACTGTTACTGAGGGGGGGCAGTACCCAAGTTATAACACATAGATAACCTCCCTGTAGTACTACCTTATATCCTCAGCCCCCCCAATGTTTGGAGTTGAGGTTTAGCTTGGATACTGTATTGCCTCCTCCCTACAGATGTATTTCACAGCTCTGCTAAGAGCAAAAATATCGGGAGACTAGTATAGGGTATAGGGTGAGACCGTATCAATTTTGAGCTCAACCTTAGAAACGGGGTTTACACTCCCCCAAACTCAGATGGAAGCCCATATAGCCCTCTTTAGACGGGCTGTAATCTTAACAAGGACCTTTTGGGGTTTCCAGGTTAGCTTCCAGGAGGGTAGGGTTTGGACAGTGTCTTCTACAAGGTCCTGAAAATAAGTTTCAATTTCTGTTACCTAGAATCCTAATATTCAGCTGAAATTATAATTTCTACTGGGGTTCCAAATCCCTTAATGTTTAGGCTTTAGGGCTCAGGCTTTGAGGTTTTGGGGGCTTAAGGTTGGAGTTTCCCTTAGAGTCTTGGGGCCCTTCAAACCGTTTTGGGCGTTGTTTTATGGTGGATGGGCTTCGCTTCTGGGACCCTCCTTAGGGTTTCGAGTTTAGGGTTTAGGGTTTTGGGTTTAAGGGTTTAGGGTTTAAGGGTTTAAGGGTTTAGGGTTTAGGGGTTTAGGGTTTTGGGATTAGGGGTTTAGGGTTTAGGATTTAGGGGTTTAGGGTTTAAGGGTTTAGGATTAGAGTTTGGGGCTTAGTTTGAGTTCTTAATGGACACCAGAAGTCTTGCAACGAAGAATCTTGAGCGGCAAGGGCCAAATGTCAAGGACACTCAGTGAGGTAAGGGTTTAGGGTTTAGGTAATTTTAAAACCTGACAAATTGCGAGCATTATTTCCCTTTCATACTTTATCACCATAGCAGAGTATACAGCAAAACCTGCATTCCATTCATTCAGACCCGTACGTTGGGTCGTGGTTCTTTTACCTCACCTGACTTCACTCAAAACTGACTGGTGCTTGAGGCGTAGGGTTTAGGGCCACATTATCCTCAATGATGGTGCTTATGATTCTTCCCACTTTCCCTCACGCAAGGGTAGGCAAGAATACGGACATGTAGGGCTCAGGGGCCAGGAGTCTTAAAAAAAAAACAGTTGCAAGAGTGGAGAAACCGAATGGAAAAGACATTGCAGAATAAAAGGCTTAGTTTGCAGATGGTTGGTATAAGCAGGATGGTTGCGGGGCTGAGACAATGAGAATAGAGCTTTGAGGCATAGTCTACTATGGTTATATACGGCTTGAAGAGGATATTATGGATAGCTATTTGAGCATTCTATAGCAGACCTTAGACCCTAAAAGGGCTTAAGGTCTAGGGTTTCGGGCTTTGCGGGCAAGGGTTGTTCTGAATCATACCTACCTTTCAGGAGGTCACCATCTGTTTCTATGGGGCATCTTTTTTTACTCGCTCTATTATTTCTATTGCTACTATTTATTATGATTCTTGGTAACACAGTATTACTCTTTTTAATGTCATTAAGTCTGCTAGGCAAAGATTGACCCTGCCCTTGGAGCAGGGCGCCTCTGCAATAAAAAGGGGGTTCTAGTTACCCCAACCTGCAAAACAAGGGCCTTATGGCTTCCCGACCCTCTTGTAGGGTCATTGTTAACTTGTTAATAGTATGGGTTACCAACATCCTCTGACTGAAAAAGCAAGTTTGTGCTGATCATAACCTCTTTTTTGGTCGGAGTCTTTCCGAGTGTCTGGGGCTCCGTAAAAGTTAGAGGAGGTGTCACGTCCGTACTTGGATGCTCAGGAGACTTAATAAGTATGCTGGCCATTGCTTGCAGACCCTTGAAGCTCCAAAACATGCATTGTTGATCTACTTACTAAGTCTTTCCGAGCTTCCAAGTATCCTAGACCATAGACCTCGTGCAGACGCACCTTGCGTGGTGCATCACCACGCTTTTGAAAAAAGATCATTC